TAACCTTAATAATATATATATAATTAATTAATTATTGGTAAATAATTATAAATCCTTTAAACTTTATTTTAGGGGATATTTTTTAATTTTTTAAAATTGATTAGAAAGGCTATATTCATGTGATTGTATAATAATTAAAAGGACAAATTAAAGGTATATGGTTACAAAAAATTATTAAAGTAAAATGCATCCTGAAATTTAGGTTACGCTACAAAAAGGTTGTTATTTAATCGTCACAATGACCGTAATTTGATTGTTCGAGATTCTCGTTTTTTGTGCTAAATTGAATCCCTTATGTCTATGATAAGTCGATCCAAAAAGTTCCCAGTTTGGATAAAAGACGAGATTGAGAAATTCTAGACGTCGGCCGCCGAACGATAAAAACAAACAGGGGTCGTCCTATCTGCCAAGAAAGATTCTCGAAAACTTGACTCATTTAACCCAATCAGTATGAGATACTCGAAATGGGGTACTGACATAGACACCTTACTTTTCGCCTTTTAGTAAACCTTCTGATCGAAGAGGCCAGATGCCAAAGCAAAAGAACTTCGAGATTGATCTCGACCGTTCATTTATGAAATAGTTTGTCTTTGTCGAACTATTTTTGACCGTTGCTCTTTCGAGGGCCATTTATTTTTAGTTTTTTATTTTTGAAAATTAAAAATAAAATGCTGCTTCCTATAAATTAAACTGATATTAATTAATTTATTGCAAAATTCCAAAAAATCATAATAAATATGACTATTTTGATAATATTTTTTAAAGAGAAAATATGGTGTATTACGAATATATTAGGTCTATATTAATTAGACGGTTGAAAAAGATAAAACTTTTTATTATTTTTTTAATCTAGTTTTAATAGTTATTTCTAATTATAACTATGTATTAAATAATATTAAATAGTATTAAATATTAGAAAAAAAAAACTCAATTTGTAGTCAAAACTATTTAAATGCAAAGAAAGAACATAATATTAAATAAAAATAATTTTTATAAATTTTTATAAATAATTAATTTATGAAATGTTAAAATTTAAATTGATACAATTATTAGTCTATATATATATATATCGGCATTTGAAACACATCTTGTTCATCGTCCATAGGTAACACAGTATTTTCTCGGGGATGATTCTGCAAATACTTATGCACCTAGGTTGGTCTGGGTCCACCCAATTTCACGTGGCAAGACCCGTACCAATTGACCCATTAATAATTAAATGGCTACTCTTATGTTTGAACTAGAAAAAAAATCACATTTATTTTTTACTTATGAAAGATTTAACCTCTCGAGTCAAATTAGTTAGGTATAAAATGAAAAATAAATGGAAGGACAATCATTAAGTGGAATTGATTAGGTATTAAATCGAGAGCATGTTATTAATTATAGGTTTTTTGTGCCAAAATCTCGTATATTGCAAGCTTGGTCTATATGAGTCGAGCGAAGGGACTTGCAAACAAGAATTCGACCCCATATTCATATTGTTTTCTCTCGAGATAGGTACCCACTCTGGGTGCTGCTCGATCGTCATTTCTGACTCGGTTAGCCAACGATAGCTACCTTTCTTTTATGTTGTATAATGATTCGAACTTGCATGTTTGATGATCTTGGATAGACCTTAACCCACGGATCTGACTTGAAACAAATTTTTTGTTAGGTAGGAAATAAAAAAATTGTTAAAATAAGATAGTTATAGTTTAATTACATTAATTGGATAATTAATTTTGCAATTTAAAATTTATTAGTATTTTTAAATTTTTTTTAACTTAAGTATTTGAATTTTTTACCTTAAAAAATTGGATACATGTCAAGTAATCTCTGTTAATATCTGACTATCATATGAGAAATTACGTTATAAAATCTCATTAAATTATATGTATTAAAAAATTAGTCGATAAAGCTCGAGTTTAAATGTATTTAGTTAGTTTTGGGTTAGAGAGTTCGAAACGTTTTCTGATCCTTGGTTTGATTCGAGTCTCGAGATCAATTCATAATTTTTATTAGAATTTGTGTAGAGGTACCTGTTACATTTGAAGTCGAATCGACGAAACTCGAATTGATTTTAGATAAATTAGAAAGTTATTTTTGATAATTTTAAATATTATGAACTCGAAATCAAATGTTTATCACGAAATATTAAGGTATTTTAACCGTATGTTGGGTAAAAATATAAAGAAATAAATAATAATTAAATAACAGTATCAATCAGCGCATCTAGTGTAGTGGTATCATAGTACCCTCCCACGGTACTGACCGGGGTTCGATTCCCCGGATGCGCAGTTTAATTCTTTGTTATTTATTTTTTTAATTTCTAGCCCAACGTTCTCGCAGCCGAGCTCAGCAACAAGCGTGGCCCAGCGCTGAAGCGTTCTTCCAGCTAACCAGGCTCACCCACGAGCGCTCCAACAACAAGCGCTGGTCCAATCGGCGTGTGCACATAGCTTCGTCGATCGCAACCCTCCCAGCCACAGCTAAGTTCCTAGCCCCAGCTCGCTACTCTCCCATGGCTCCCCTCGGCTCTAGTAGTTCCATAAATATGCTTAACCTAGGAATGATCGGCTAAGGTGAGTTGCAAACTACTTTATATTTATTATAAATGTGTTCTAAGTATGACAAAATGACACGATAATACATATTAGCTTCATAAATAATTTATGTCGTGATATAATTAAAGTATTGTAAGTATCATCCTACGAAACTATGATTTTAACGTGGGACTTCATACTTGTTATGTATATTTAACATTGATTACTTATAAGAATGGTTTCGGGTCGTATTGCGTACTATGACTCAGCTACATAAGCGCAAGCCTATATGCAGACCTAGGGTTCACGAAAACGGGATACTCACCTAGTGGGTTTACATGCATGTGGATGGACCGTGTGTCTAATAATATATATCTAAACTCACCCGTGAATGAATTTTGAACTTAAGACTATAAACATTGTTAGACGAACACGACTCTCCACAATAGTATGAAATTGTCCAGTTTGAACATAATCTCTATGACTTTGTTTTGAGCTTTCCCAAAAGGTCTCGTACCAATGGAGAGAGTATTTCTTGTTTATAAACATTCCTTAAATGAGCTGATGTGGGACTTTCATCGTCCAACAAACATGATTAGTAAGTGGTCCGATCACTTACTAAATATTTTTAAATATTCTAATTAAATATTTTGAGAGAATAATTTAAAATAATAAAATAGAAATGGAATTCATAAAGATTTAGGGAAAAGAATCGGTTCTCAGCTTGTAGTTGACAATTTGCATCAGCTTTCTTCCCAACAGATGCCGCTCCGCCACCAAATCACGCTTCCATTAAACAATTTCATGACAAATTCCACCTTGATTTCTTCGTCTCTGCTCGATTATTGCCTCCCATCTCTTTTTTTCTATATAATTCTGCACTTCCCTTCACAAACCCACCTCCATTTTCAATCCCTGCCGAAGAATCAATGGCTACCTCCATTAAAGTCCACGGAGTTCCCTTTTCCGGACCCACATGCAGGGTTCTAGCTTGTCTCTACGAGAAAGAACTTGAATACGAGTTCGTCAAACTCAAGATGCACGAAGGGGAACACAAGAAACAGCCATTTCTCTCCATCAATGTAAGTTTCCTACTATTGCCATTGCTTTAATTTTCGTGGGGTTTTCATTGGATTCTGCTTGGTTGATTTGATTTCAGCCGTTTGGTCAAGTTCCTGGGTTCCAAGATGGAGATTTGACGCTTTTTGGTAAAATTTATTTAGGAAACAGAGCAATTCATGGTTTTTAGCTTTATGCACACAAGGTGTTTGATAAATTGTCTCTGTGTAGAATCCAGGGCAATCACGCAGTATATCGTAGGGAATTATGCTAATAATGGAACCCAATTGATTTTCCAAGACCCCAAGAAAGCGGCGATCGTATTGACATGGATTGAAGTGGAGAGCCACCATTATGATCCACCAGCCTCGAAGCTGGTCCTCGAGCTCTGCTTGAAGCCTTTGCTTGGTTGGGGTGAGACAGATGCTGCAGTAGTTGAGCAAAGTGAAGCTGAGCTAGCTAAAGTTCTTGATATCTATGAGGATAGGCTGGCTCAGTCCAAATACTTGGGAGGTGAGTCCTTCACTTTAGCTGATTTGCACCATCTCCCAACCATAGACTACTTATTTGGGACACAGATGAAGAAACTGTTTGAATCTCGGCCCCATGTCAATGCATGGGCGGCTGATATCATGGCCAGGCCTGCGTGGGCTAAGGTGCTTGCTTTGCGCTAATAAAACGTTGATTTCACTTATCTATCCTTTACTTGATGTGTGATGGGACATGAAAACTTGAATAAAGATGGTGTGGTTGCCTTTTTATTTACATCTGAGCTCTCTGTATCACTTGCTTTGTTGTCCTATATATATTATATGAACTTTTGACAACAACGAACACGGTGTTACAATCGCGAGATAGCGATTGTGCGGCACTTGTTCTAACCCAGCAAACAAGTCAGACGTGTGAAATTTGGACGTCGCAGACAACGTCGGCATATGTCCGGGTTTCCAATCACGTTTGCGAGAAAGGTATTAGAAAACATGAGCGAGGAAATACATTTGAAAACGATTTGAAGAAAAGAAGAAAGCAACTTTACATGACTATAAGCAAATAAAGGAACACTTCTATGTAGGAACAAAAGTGACAATTTTAGCCCCGGCGGTGCAGACATGATGGTGCAGACATGATTTTGGTGAACGATCATACGCATTCGTATTACACAACTAAACACCTATCTAAGATGAAAGCGTGTGAGTCTGAAACGAACATGCGACCATAGACAGGACGTCCTGGATAAACATGACCTGGACATCTTATGCAACCATAGACAATATGCCTTGGACAAGCATAACCACGACACAAAGTATGTGGAGGATGTTGACTAATCAAACATTGGGGTACGTCAAGACATGAGATTCTAGATGAAAATTTACTGTCTATGATTTCAAAATAATAGATGAAAATCAAACATTGATGTGTGACACGACATAAATAAGGTAAGATTTTATTATAGCAAATATGTTCAAAGATATTTGCCTATATATCAAGACTAAATATAAATAAATATCCTTTCTAAGGATGGTTACAATTTCTGATTGCGCAAGGCAAGGACCTTGCCCCACGAAGGCCTTGCAGTGATCTCAGCAACCCAAGCATTAACGCGCGGCCGTGACTCGAACAGCTTCTTCGATGGCGTCGCCAACAAGTAGTGCACATTGGGGATGTGGTGCAGATCTGCCAAACTGAACGTATCGCCAGCCAAGAACTTGCTTTTGCCAAGCTGATTCTCGTAGATGTCAAGAACTTTCCCCAACTTAGCTTCGTTCTCAGCCACGGCGGCGGGATCTGTCTCGCCCAGACCGAATAGTGGCTTGACAAGATACTCGTACGACAGCGCTACCCCCGGTGGGTCGTAGTGGTGGCCTTCCACTTCAATCCATGTTGATATGATCGCTGCTTTCTTTGGGTCGTCCGACAGCAATTGGTTTCCCTTGCTGGCGTAGGCGGAGGCCAGGTACTGGGTAATGGCCCTTGATTCTTGAATTAACAAATTCCACTTTCAATCACAATTTCATCATAAAAGGTTTTTGATATGAAGAACATATGCAAAAACTTTGCAAACAGAGATCAAAGTAATATCTTTTCATAAGAAATTGACTAGAATCAACCAAAGATTACTTTAAAAAAAATGAAAACAGAGTAGGAGCATTTCATCAAACACCTTGTGTGCAAACAACATTTTCATAGTGGAATTTCATCAAACAGATAGAATGCAACAGAGCACATGATCATATGCAAAAAATTCGCAAACAGAGACCAAATAATAACTTTTCAGAAGAAATTGACTAAAATGGATGTAAGAGAAGTATAAAAACTAGAATAAACCAAAGATGACTTTAAAAATAATGAAACAGAGTAGGAGCATTTCATCGAACACCTTGAGCGCAAACTACATTTTCATAGCGAATATTTCATCAAACAGATATGAGTGCAAGAGAAAACGTAGTAATTACCGAAAATCGTGAGATCCCCATCTTGAAACCCAGGAACTTGACCAAACGGCTGCAGAAATTCAACGAAACCCCACTAAGAAACAATCGACAAACACCACAAAAATCGAAGTCACAAACAATTACATAACACTCACATTGATGGAGAGGAAGGGCTCTTTCTTGTGCTCATTATTCTTCATGTCCAGAAGAACAAACTGGTATTCGAGATCTTTCTCGTAAAGACAAGCAAGAACTCTGGCTGTGGCGGTGGAAATGGGGCTTCCATGGACTTTGATGCTCGCCATTTCAAAGAAAATCGATTTGGGAACAAAGAAATTGAGATGGGTGCGTCGGGAAACAGGAATTGTTGAAGGTTCTTATAGAGAATTGAAAAAGAAAAGGGAAGGATTCAATCGTAAAGTGATTGAAGCTCGGTGATTTGAAGTGGGAAATGAATGGAATCACAGAACGCGGATCCATAATTGAGGTAGCTGCAACAGTCATGTCTGAAATGATCTTCCAGACTTTTTCCCCGCCCATAAATTATGGTCCACATTCCCATTTCTGAATTTTCTATAAATTTTATTAATTTTTTTTTTAAATTCAAAAATATATTTATAGTCTATTAAAATTATTAATAATCAAATATTTTAAAATTTTGGATAAATTACTATTTTAACCTTTCTAAGAAAACTTGTTATATTTTGTCTGGAATAAATTAATGCCCAATGAAACTTATTAATATTTTTTTACGATGAAAATTAAATTAAATTAAATAATTGTTATATATTAAAGTTGGGAAGAATTATTGCATATGCGCTGACGTCATGGAGTCAAAGTCGCCAACTTGCCACCCAATAATGGAAATCTAAAATGGTATCTTACAATTTTGGTTCAAGATGTAATTTTAGTAAATATATATTTTTAATTTCATTTTATTTTAATATCTGTATTTTCATATATTTAATTTTAATTTTACAAATATATCTTAAAACTTTTATTTCAAAAATATTTAGTTTCATTAATTTTGGAAATATTATGACTATTTAAATCAGTCTTAATGGAAATAAATTCAAATGACTAATTTTAAGATTTATAAAAATTAAGAAAGCTGAAATTGAATCTTTAATTTGAATTATGGGTTTAATTTTTCAATAAATAATTAGATTAACTATCCTCTGTTTCCTACCAAAAATAAGACTGACTAATTTGTTTGAAAATTAATATATATATATATATATATATATATATATCTATTCCTAAAAAGAGGTAAAAATAATATGGTAAAAATAAGTTTCAAAACTACACCGAAAAAATCTACTAGAACTTTGAACGAAATTCGGCATGGCAAAGACCTAAAACGACACGTTGGTGCTACGATATTTTCTATCTAAAGAAATGATATTCATATTTTCTATTTTAATCATGGTTTTGAAATGTATACGAAGATCGAAACCTCAAGTATATTGCAACTTTTGAAAGAATACGAGAATAGTTTACAAGACATTAGTAACAAAGGTGAAGAGTTGGACTTTATACCCTTGTCGTAATGCTAAGCAGTAGAGAGAGAAGCCATAACTTCAAACAGCACAAGTTTCAAGATTACACATCCACCTCGAAACACTAAATTTCTAGAACTTTGAGATCGAATGAGAGGATCTAATATGTCGCTAGTTTGATTATACTAGACACAAAATTGAAAATCTATGGACCTGTCAAGAACATTCAACTTAGAACTAATGATCGCAAGAACATTCAAGTTAGAACAGTCTCGTAAAAACTTACTATCACTTAGAAATAGGCTGGTAAAACCTGTGTGATGAGCTCTAAAAATTCAAATTCATGTAGGGGAAGTTTTTACAATGAGTAAATGTAGAATGTTTTTACTCCACAGCATCCAACCATACAAATACAATCAATGAGCTAAATTTTGACCAGTTTTGTCTCTGACGAGAGCTTCTGGCCTATGCCACTATAAAAAATTCACAATCTTTCCCTCTTAATCAGTAAAAGCTCCCCATATTCTAACATGGAAGCTGAGATCAATGCTCTTCACACCAACAAAATCATTTTCTTAATATTCCAGAACAGAAGCAAACAATGGCAAAACCACTCTACAACATAGTTGGAAACTTAACTTTTGCTAAAGCTTACAGTCCAGTAATCAGATCATCTACTTCTCTCCTTATTCTCAACCTAGGTGTCCCTAATCATCTCTAAAAGCATAGTATAACCGAACCAACGGATAATTCAAAAAAAAAAAAAAAAAAAAAAAAATTATGGAACTCTTAGAATTTGATCTATGAATCTGGTTGAAAAACAAGACCTTTAAATCTAAGAATCCCAAAACGATAAGATCAACCCAAAGAGAAAGTTTTGGAACAGATGATTAAGATCAAAAGTAAAGAAAACTTGTTTCTAAGATTCGAATCAGTCCACACGATAGTTTAATCAATATTACTTGAATGACTTTAGCATGCAAATCTAAACACAAAAAATGCAATTGAACAAGCCCACAACTTAAGAAGACAATTTTCTAAAACAATTGTAATATCCAAAATCTTCCTACAAAATCAATAACATGAATTGACTATTTATAGCCTTGAAAATAAACCTTTCTATTAATCTATTAATCTATTAATCGTTGTAATTTTCATGGTCATTAATTCCATAACTACAACTAGCTAATTGTAACTTGCCTCCTTGAATCTAAACCACTTACATGGATCTTGTCATCTACCATAAAATCTTTGTAGAATGATTAAGAAACCTTATTTTGTAAAAAAAAAAAAAAAAAAAACATATACAACACTTAACTTAGCCAAGAGGACTAATCAGATCTCTAACACGATTGACTGACTACATTCTGTTCGTTTTAAAAAAGCCTAATCAGATCTCTAAACACTCCAACAGTAGTTTGACATATTTTTAATACCTCAAATACACTAAAGAATGCAGGCTACAGTTCGAAATACCGTTACCTTCATATGTATACTTCTTGAACTTCCGCTATAAATAAGTCCTCCATCATTTAGTTCAACTTTTCTACCTGCAGGCTATTCTTAGAAGAATGTGTACATTAATGGTAAGCTCTTCATTTTAGGTCTCAATTTCATCAGGTAAATCCAGAAGGCTAGCATTACAGTCAATCAAAGCCTATTGCATTCGCAATAATTTCAGGAGACACGTTTTCTTTTCCCCATGTTTGGAGTATACAATTGTTCATAAGGCCAAATAAGTTAAGAAAATTAAATATGAACATGGGGGGCAATAATAGAATTCTTCTTTTTCCTTTTTTTTTTCCCTGAGACGAACATAGGCCAATCTGTACATGCATAGATCTATTTACAAGCAATAGAGGATCTAGGAAGAGAATATGCTTACAACAGAACTGAAATAAAGAGTACACTGGGCTAGAAGGCTTCCTCTGGCATTAGAAAGTTGTGATATTCAAGCTGTGTCATCTCTCCGCCATCCACCGCATCAAATTGGCATCGGTAGAAGCTGCAATAATTAAAAATGGCACATCAAGATTCTAAAACTTCCAACGCAGCGGTTAAACGACCAAACAGAATACCAGATCTAATGGAAGCTAACACGACTTAGGCAATGCTAAAGAAAAGATAATGAAGCAAATAACAAATGGTTCAAGTTAAAGTAGAAAGAAAATATTGTCTATTATCAGTCTATGAAAATAAAGCGTTCACATTAAAAATATTTATCTAATATCATCGAAATCGTAGTTGGGATACCCAAGCAACCCTCATCTTAATTGTTATTCTGCAGAATTATAATTAATTGAAAAAGAAATGAAAAAATCCCAATAGTAAGAGAAGAACTACAAAGACTATTTACCTTCCATCCATTCCAAGGATCACCACTGTATTCTTCTGGTGACCAAACGCAACAACATACCGAGACCCTTCATGCAATCGAAACTGAGCAACAGACCACTCTGACTTGAAATACTTTGGCAGCACACCTGCAGGTGCAAGACTGTTCATTAGATCCAAAGGCAAAAAGGGATATCCGACTGCAAAAAAATAAGGAGAATATCCCATCTCTTTCCTTTCGTTTAGTATTGTTCGAAGGTAAGAAGCATGGTTATAGACGCGAGACACTGAGACATTGTTCAAATTTAGGACACACACAAGGACAGACATCATTAAAATATATAAAAATTTTATGCAAAAGAAAGAAATTCAAAATCTATATGTTCATAAATTTATATGCTTAAAATTTGAGTTTTGATGTATTTCTCTCTCGAAGTTTATTCTACTTAATACATGTGGGCCCTAAATTAACTTTGTACAACTAATGTCCAACAAATCTGCTATACTAAGAATGTTCGATACATGTCCTCAAGTGTCAAGATGTCCAAGTGTTCAACACGATGGACACGCTAGCCAAACTAAAGCATTCGAACTTCTTAGATGGAAAGAAAAATGGAATATACAACTAAAATAAGGAGACAGTGGCTGCCCAACACCAGATTTTGTATTTTATTCCAGTCTAAGTGTTCTTTTCAGGAGTATGCCAGTAAATTTTCAAAGGACTCCTTGGCTGTTATACCAGATTTTGTATTTTATTCCAGTCTAAGTGATTTCAAAGCAATTCAAAGAATTTATGAAATAGTAATATCCAAATACAGTGGAAATCCGTGGTTAGACACAAATGGTTCCATTACCTTTGATGAACGAAAATGAGGAGCCAGATGGTGAGACGGAAAGAGAAGAATCATTCTGATACATATCATTCTGAAGAGACCCAGAATTGAATTTAAGACTGAATACGTGGACGGTCCCCTTGTCACTGGAGACTGCCAGCCATTGAGCAGTCGATGAGAAGGCCAAACTGTATATCTCCGCCCTATCTGCGCCTCTCCGTACCTATACATCATACCAAGATAATACAAAGTAAATTCACTGCCAAATTCGATACTTCATAAAGAAGTCATGTAAATTCCTACAAACTCAAAACTAAATGGGGAGAATTAGATCGCAGCTTAGTTCAGAAAAACAACATTACACTGAGATTCCGACAACACAGAACAAACCCAGATGAACAATTTTAATTCCAAGATGAACACACCTCTTGGAGCAAATTTCCATCAATTGTATTGAATATCCGAACCAAAGTTCCCTTGGAGCTCGCTGTAGCAAGCAACTGCCCGTTGGTCGTAAGCGCAAAGCAAGCAACCCTCGAGTCGTGAGCCATGATAAACTTTGTCCGTCGAGAGGCATAATGCTCAACCCTAACCTGCCCCTTAATCAATCCAGGGCAGACAAGCACAAGCGAAGAACTCAGCTGAGAAACAGCACAAAGCCCTTTAGGATTCGCAATAGTTTCGATCTGATGCAGCAGCTTCAAGTCCGCAAAATTGTACACAAAAACCTTCTGCTCCAAAATAACAATAATTCGGTCTCTCTGTAGCCGAACCCCCCGAACAGCAGACCGAAACGACAGCTCCCCAATACACCGGCTCTGATGATCATCCCAAAGCATGACCTTATTAGGCGGGTACTGAGGT